GTGAACCTGCTTGCAGGAGGACCTGGTCACAGGTGGACCCGATCGCCGGTTGACCCAGTCACAGGTGGACCTGTTAGCAGGTGAACCTGGTCACAGGTGGACCTGGTCACAGGTGGACTTAGTCATAAGTGAACCTGGTCACAGGTGGACCTGGTCACAGGTGGACCTGGTCACAGGTGGACTTAGTCATAAGTGTACCTGCTCACAGGTGGACCTGGTCATATATGGACCCAATCGCCGGTGGACCCAATCGCTGGTGGACTTGGTCATAAGTCAACCTGGTCACAGGTGGACCTGGTGAACCTGCTTGCAGGAGGACCCGGTCACAGATGGACCCGGTCGCAGGTGGACCTAGTCATAAGTGAACCTGGTCACAGGTGGACCTGGCTCGTCCTCTCAGCTGTAAAACTGTTCAGCTCTATGTTGTTTGGGGCTCCAGCAGAATTTCCTGACCCAGATCCCTGAACCGGACCTTCTTTCCTCAGTTTTATGTAACAAAAATAAAAACGTCTGATCCATAAACGGACCAACAGCTGCAGGTCGGCCATGTTTACCAGCCGAGCGACGCCGTCTGGAGCTCTGTGGCGGCTCAGACAGCACGCCGCCTCCACCAGCAGCTTCCCCCCTCCATCCTCCTCCTCCTCCAGCGTGTCCCCGTCCTCCTCCAGCGTGTCCCCGTCCTCCTCCAGTGGCAGCACCCAGCACAGAGCGCCCATGGCGAGGCACTGAGGGGTCAAAGGTCACCTCTGGGGTCCGTCTCGAGGAGGACCTGCTCACAAACCTCTCCGAGGTCCAGCAGGCTGATTAGTCCGTCAGACTTCAGAACGCTCCGAGGGCGTTAGCCCAGATTATCAGGCTCACCGCGGGTCATGTGACCCATTGAGGGGGAGGAGGGGAGGATTGTGGGTAAGTTTGAGGAGTTTAAAGTCGTCTGCTCCGACAGATCCTCCAGTTTTTATCACATCCAGGTGATTCTGCTGCTTCTGTTCTGGTTTGTGATTAAATCAGTTCAGTTTTTTAGACACTTCTGAAACTTTTTGTCACAAAACGTTCCGACTGAGGAAAAGTTCAGTTTTTTATAAAATCTACATTTTTTTGCTTTTAGTCTGAACCTGACGTGGTTTCATTTCTTTAATTCATTTTTCAAAACATGTTTTTTTTTTTCCTCTAAAAATGATTCAAAGAAGAATAAAATGGATGTTTCGTCACCGAACCTCACCTGCATCATCGGGGCGTGGCTAAGAGCAGGAGGCGGAGCTTCAGAGGCATCATCGACAAGCGGAGAATCTGTGACATCATCAAGACGTTTTAAATCAGTTTTTATTCGTTTGATGACATCAGGCTCATCTGCTGAACAAAGAAAACTTCTGAAGGACAAAATAACTCGTTAGTGTTGAGAACAAACTTGATCGTTTAAAAATGTTTCTTTGATCTTTTATTGTTTAAATGTTTATGAAACATTCACTCTTCTGTAATCCATTTTTCTTCTGTATGTTTTTCAGCATCTTTCTCATCCAGCAGTTTTCAGCTATTCAAACAACATGAATCAAAACGTTCGGCTCTTCCAGGACAATCCTGCTGTGACTTTTGGTTTTGGTGCAACTTTAGCTTTTTGAAATATTTAGCCTTTTCAGCCATTTTTCCTCACAGAAAATGAATTGAGCTCATTTTAATCTTTCAAACCTTTAGCTCTGTTTACAGCCTTTTACTGCTCCTTTCACATTTTGTTCTGCTTCAGCTTCTTTCTGCAAATTTTACTATTTTTCAGCTACTTTCAGCTCATTTCAGCTGTTTTGTGCTCCTTTCAGATTATTTCTGCTAACTTCAAATTTTTTTAGCTTATTTTAACTAATTTCTGCTAATTTCAGCTTGTTATGCTCCTTTTAGCTAATTTCTGCTTTTTCAGCTACTATTTAGCTGTTTTTATGCTAATTTTAGCTTTTTGGGCTAATTCCATATTTTTGCACATATTTCAACATTTTCCAGCTTAATTCAGCAAAAATGTGCTCTCTCCACATCCTCCTGGTGATTTAAGTTTCTTTCTGCTGTTTAGAATACTTTTCAGCTGTTTTTTGCTCGTTTCAGCTTTTTTCAGATAATTTCCCTTTTTGTGCTCATTTCTGCTTCTTTCAGCCTAAAAGGGCAAACACGTTCTTTCTGCTTTCTTCTGCTAACTTAAGCTTGTTCGACCTTTTCTAGCTTTTTTGCATTTTTTAGCTAATTTCAGCCATTTTCAAATAAAGTCATGTTTTTCAGCTTTCTGCTCATTTCAGCTTGTTTTGCTCCTTTCAGCTTCTTCTGCTAGTTTCAGCTACTATTTAGCTCTTTTTATGCTAATTTCAGCTACTATTTAGCTCTTTTTATGCTAATTTCAGCGTTTTCAGCTAATTCCACATTTTTTTTAATCCCATCTGTTTTTCAGCAAGTTCTTCAACAGTAAACATTCACACTGCATGTTCACAGGTCTAAATGTTTTCACTTTCACTCCTTCATTACGTTTAGTTTAAAATTCAACAAGTTGATTAAAAAAACTAAATAAAAATTACAATAAAGGAACTTCCTGCAAGTCTCTCCTGATCGGACTCTAACCGAGTCCCTGGTCGGTACCTGTGGTCCAGGTGAGCAGGGCGGGGTCTCCAGGGTCGGGCCAGACGGTGGGCTCCTCGGGATCAGGAGACTCGTCTCTCCTCAGCAGCAGCTGCAAGTTCTGGTGGGTGAACAGAGTCTGCAGGAGGTCCAGGTCCAGGCCGCAGATGGCCGACCCGTTCACCGCCAGAACCTCGTCTCCGGCCCGAAGTCCTGATCGAACAGAGACACAAACTGTAAGTAAAGTTTAGACTTTTATTTTGTAGGGAGCCAAACTCTGATGTTATTGTTTATAAACACAAAGATCTATTTTGTTTTAATGTTTTTTTCCTTCTGGTTCAAGTTTTATTTCGCCAGTTTCCAATTGATGAATAAAGGGAAGCAGGACATCAGTGAATAAAGAGAAACAGGGCATAGGTGAATAAAGAGAAACAGGACATAGGTGAATAAAGGGAAATAGGACATTGGTCAATAAAGGGAAATAGGACATAGGTGAATGAAGAGAAACAGGACATAGATGAATAAAGAGAAACAGGACATAGGTGA